AGGGTCATTTCCAGTAACCATCTCATGGCGTGTCCTCAACGAGTTAAGTTCTCACCTTGTTGGACTGGTTGTTGACCAGGAACTTCCGATTGAGTTTTTTCTGTATGTGACACCTTTCAAGTCTTTTTTTCACCCCATGAATTCACAGGTGCTATATTACAAAGCTTAGATAGAAATAAGGTGGCCAGTTTGGGTAGCCGAATGTTATCTCCAAAGTGCAAACTGCCCCACGTTCAGTGGGGCACAAATTGAGGGCTGTCAAGAAACCAGTTGATCTTGTTGAGAGGTGCTAACGGGGAAACATTCGGTACGTCGTGAACCAAAACCATCGTGCCAAAATTGGCTTTTTTCGAGTGGGGAGAATGACTATCCTTGTGGGCGAGAAGTGGATAATAAAACTAAACAAGGAGGAGGGGCTCGATGAGTAGAGCGCGAATGTACTGATCGGAAAGTCCATGGTTCGAGCACGACCTTTCCATCACGACTTTTGCCTAGGCGTGCACAGGCACAGGTTGCATGACATCTGCGCACCGATAGGGTGTTACAGCCAAACGATCTTAAGCAGCGAAGCCTACGTTAACCTGCATTGTTTTAGACTAAAAAAAATACGCTATTCATGCGGATCAAATTGAGTGATAATCACGTTTCTTGTTTGCTTTTTGTTGCTTGACATCGTGTTTGCAGGTTTTGTCACTCAACGTCGCTCAAATTCAGGACGTCAAATCAGATTTACCGATTTTCTGGATGCTAACTCATAAGATTCAAACTGCAAGACTCGGGCAGTTAGTCTACAAAATATTTGGATAGTCTGACGGCCTGTTGCGAGCTGACGCATGGTCGTTTGAGGTATCTCAAGCATCAAATTGGCTCCGACAATAGCTGAATATGATTAGTGGGCAAGGGGCCAGCGGGCCAGCGGAATTCTGATTTGTCAGTTGAAATCAGACCAATCACTAGAGAGCGACGTGAGAGTCCCAGCTCTGAAGTTAAGGTATAGGAAACACTAGAAACTAGGTATTTTGTATCCTTCGAGAACTTCCTTGGAGCCGTCCAAAAAATCTCGGAATTTCCTTCTGAATTTGTATGTAGAGCCCAACCTCGACAAACGGACTCTCGCCTTGCCACGTTAGGGGAGTCTGCTAAAACAAAACCCATGTCCACGTGACAGGACTCGGAACTTCCTTGGAGCCGTCCAAAAAATCTCGGAATTTCCTTCTGAATAGCTTTGTAGAGCCCAACCTCGACAAACGGACTCTCGCCTTGCCACGTTAGGGGAGTCTGCTAAAACAAAACCCATGTCCACGTGCCGGACAGGACTCGAAATAGAAAGAATGACAAAATTGCCATATTGAATATCGTGCGCACTGATACTAGTCTATGATGATGAGCATCATGGTTGGCTGATCCTGTGAGAACATCAGAGAATGTACGCTTTAATTGCTCAACGTCGGTATTTGGAACGGTGCAAGTTTTTGGACGACAGGGTGGTGAATCCCACATTATTTGAATCCGTGTTAAACAATAAACTAAAATTTATACGTACGGGAATATTGATTTTGGCTGATAAATACGAAGATAATCTGGTTGTCACAAGGGAAGGTGCTAACTCCTTGTCCTGCAGCCCTATCTCTTTTACCCAAAGACACGTAATCTCCCGGTATGTGAGTTAACTTTTCTTTCGAACTTGGTACTTATGTTATAAAGCATCCTTCCGAATCAAGGTGGGTTGTCCCGCAGTTGTAAACGAACTCTGTAAATCAGTTCCACAGGTTCCGTAACAAACCTCATGGGGTGCACTTTCCGTTGAACGCGAGGCGGAGTTACGAGAAAACCACATGCTACTCGCATGCCTTATCAGTAGTATCCGTCCTTACACTTATATCATTAAGTAGTATTGCGAACCAATGTCAGTTGTTTACCTCAAATGAATGCAACTTTTTCAGGAAGTGTTCTTTCAATGGTGCTTACTCATGCGATAAAGTAAACATCACAATACGATGAATCCATTTACACCATAAACAAAAAGTTGGCTTAAACCACTGCGAGTTGCACGGGCGTAGTGAATACGCGGAATGCTATGCCAGGAAGAACTTAATTGAACCAAGACTGTTGAACAGTCTTTGAGAAGGTGACCTATTTGATCTGGTGGTCTAAAGCGTGTATTCGAGGGTTCTGTCACGCTACTAATTACTAATCGAGTAGCATGGTTATACGGAACAAATATATGTGACGCATTGCATTTGGTTCCAGCCTCTACTCATAACATGTCTTGTGCGTTCAGAACATCTACCCAGACGATACTGGATGGCTTTTTTGCGTACCCTCCTGGGTTCCTGGAGACCATCAAGGTCTTGGGTGAGGCGTCTCACCTCTTTTTTTCAAAGTGTCAACGGAGCGCCACCGTGATCGGGTGTCAGGATGCATGGCATCTGATTCGGAGGTTGTTACACCACTGGCAAAGGCATTTTGGCTGCCAAGGTAACGTCCAATAGTGTGGAGAACTCTAATTTTCTCGAGGCACTCAGCTCGATTCCGACTGAAACGCTTGCCTGTGATGTCTTCTCAACAGAGTGTGCTGCACCTCGTGTTCCATTTTCGACAGTTCACGATAAATTTTATAGACGTAATACACTGATCATAAGGTTTTTAAAAACCCTCCTACAATCCGTGCCGGTTTCGCCCTACAGTTGGAAATTACCGGGTGGATACAGTTCACAAGTTTCCGTGCAAACGGGCGTACTGGGCGAACTTCGTATATTTTGCTTCAAGTGGAACATAAGACTGTAGGTAACTCGGAGATTGCAAGACCGTTTGTTGGTTGTCGAAGAGTTTTCGGCAACCTTATGAGTAGTATCTAACTCCCGTTTACATGAATAAAATTATCTGCTCGATCCATGAGCCATAAGACGCACTTTTAGCACAGTCATTCACTTGTTATTTACTGCTTGCATTAACCGGCAATCCAACCAATGGTTAACTGTTCACACCAATTGCCAAATGGTTGTTGATTCGAGTTCCTTTACCGGATTTTCGCGGAATCCGCGCTGTTGAGGAATCCCAGTGTGCAAGTCGCCTCGGTTTTTTCGGCATAGATCAGTTCCAAATACACTCGCTTTTCTATACCGTTCAACGGCCCAAAGGCGTTAGCAATCTTGGATCGGAGAAAGAATTTCCATTCTAGGTCACTGCTACGGAGCATTTTTATTGTAAAATAGAGGAAATTATTGATTTTTTTCTAAATATATCTCACACGTGCCAAAAGCGGATTATTATCACTTGTTACATGCAAATATCCTAGCAAAACTATGTGGAACTGGTAAGGGCTTGCTTGATCGGAATAAAACCCAAATGGCAGTGTCATTTAAGAATAAACGGCTTTAATTATTCAGGTTTGTCCACTTTTAGAGTGCAGTCCACCCACACGTCCTAAATGTGCGATGAGCCCGTTTTATTATAGAGTATGAAGCCTTTGGTTTTGTTATGTAATAAGTACTTTAGTCACCTACAACTTACCGACGTAAATTAAATTCCTGACACGAATCTGGCCCTCTTTCATCCATTTTTGTACAGAATAGCAAGAAATTGAGTCATCAGCCCCCGGAGGAATATCACACGATGATTGACAACCTTAAACATTAGTGATTTATGCCAGCTTTAAATTGCGGATCGATTAGCTACTGAGTACTACTCTAACATTAATCGATTCATGGCAGACTTCAGACTGTAGTATCGGGAGTTTTATAATACGCTTTGTTTTGAAATTTTTCGCTCTTGATTTTGAATGGAGCACGTTAAAACCACACCAACATTTTAGGCTTTATTACCAATGAATTGCTGTTTGGGAGTTAAATGAATTGATATAAAATTGTGATGTGAAAATGACAACTAGATTCCGGCTTACTGAAGACTCGGAACAAATGCGAAACTGGCCGGTGAACAGTTTTTAATAATGAATGTAAAAGGGGGAAGCGTTGAATTCGATTTTCGCTTTCATCGGCAGTGCTTCTCCTTGGTCTTGCCAGGATTCGAGCTCTGTGCATCTGACATTCAAGGCGAGGGTGTTAGCACACTTCCACCGGCGCACAGTGCAGTTTTTCGTGTCTGAACGGGCGAACACGTTCACACCTGAGTTACGTGTTTGGTTGGCCGTATAACGACCCAGTAACTGTCCTGGCTTTGTCGATCGACTATCTATCCGACTCTCGATTCAATGAGCGGCGCCGACGTCTAAACTGTCGGGCGTGTTTGGTCTTGTGTTTAAACGATTTAAACAACTTCCAGATGACTGAAAAGATACTCTCTTAAATACGCACGCCCTTTTAACTCATTTGCGAAACGATTGTGAATGTGTCAGCCATTCACTGGGAGAAAAATGCACGTTATCTGCTTTCGATAATCCTATGCCTGTGAGGAAAGCCGTTCACATCTAACTGTCCTGCTAACATCAAGCATTGAGACATCTACTTTTACGAGTTTGTTGCAGTCTGCAAACCCCGTCTTCGAAACAGTGGAATCTAGTGACATCTGCAGCTAACCGAAAGCGATGCCAACTTGTTTCTCACACAGACTGGCTTGGACGCCTGATTAACAGTTGAGAACACCACCGTGTTCCCAGTTATCTAAGGGGTTGCTTCAAAATCCAGCACTGTTTGTGATCCAAGGTGTACACCCTAATCCTTCAGAATTCACCGTCTCGCTTCGGAGCCTTGTGCTGAAAAGTGTTTTGCCCACAACCAGCGGAATCTCTGGTCCAGTCGCAGCAATGCTAACGGCACCCAGCCCGTTTAGTATTTTCAGCGACCACATGTTGTCACGAGATCTAGGTGCTTCATCGAAGCAATGGCGGACAACTCGTTGGGCTTCACAAGGCACGTCGTTAATGGTTCGTGCTCCACGAGGGTCAGCCAACTCAATTTAGTTTTCGGACGGCTGATATACCTGTCCGGGGAATTAATTGCGATGTCAGCACACAGACGACAAATGTTAGTTCTACTGACAATATGTGTGCACACCTGTAGCTGCTGTGTTGTCGATTGGCCCTCAAGGATTTTATCTGGGCTTATGGCGGTTCGTTTAACCAATCGCGTCATTCTGGAAACGGCGGTAGGGATTCCAACACTCAGATCTCCGTCAGGCTTGTGCTGAAATCCCCCGAATGATCACTGGTCAACAAAGCTCAGCGCTATCATCGTCTGTTCAGTGTGCGCCGAAGTCATCACTGACCCGGCAGTCTGGAAGTTCCATCAGCTTGAAGAATGGACGCTTACGGTGAATGGCAGCCACAAATAAGTGGAACTTCATTGCCAGCTCGTGATATGAAGCAGTTATTCCCTCAAACGAACGTTATTCTTAGTTATGCGAGTTAGTCTATTTTCTTCGTTAGGACAGCTGGAAATATTACGCTTGAATAATATAGCAACAAGACAAACGCCGCAGTTTATCAACATCTCACTTTCATCTCTCGAGTAAATTTTGTCCCATTTTTGAGCCGGGTGGAACATCTATTGACTGATGGCATGTCAGATGAGATCCGAAAATCTGTCCCATCGATCGATAAACACATTCTATCAATTGGGAACACGGTTTTACTGCGCCATTTCAACTGGAAATTGTTAACTTTCATTCAATCCTTGTTGATCAGTCAATACCGACCCAGTTTGTGCACATCAAATACCCTGACACAAGTGATCGATTTGCCCTGGTTTGAAAAACCGGACCTGATTGGCCCGTCCCACTGCTTCGTTGCTGCTAATTCTCTATCTATAATGTGAAACTGATGCTTTTTATTTCCGCGCTTGAAGAGAGGAAAGAGAGATGTCGACATCCCATGGACTCTGTCTTCTTGCTACAAGACTCAAGTGTATAACAGGAAAGCAAGTTCTGCCGGACATGGGGAAATTTGACTTACACAGTCTCCCTACCACTGACCGTGGTCAACTACCTTGTACATCTGGTTTCTGGAGAAGTGCTAAAGATTTCGAACTAGACGGATGATGCGTGCTAGCCGACCAATCAGCCAGCTTGTCGCTTCGCATAACTCAGCCAATCAAAATACTGCTTGGATGTTCACTGATTTATTCGATGTTCCGTTGGAGGAAACTGTTTACAAGGTTGCTGAAAAGTCATCGACAAGTGATGTTTGGTCTCTTCCTCCTTTGGCCACCAGTTTCCATCAACCCCATGTTCGACCTGACACTAAATTGTAGAAATACACACTCATTTGCAAATCAATTTGGTTTTCGCGAGAGATTCAAATGAATCTCTCCTTAACGATAATTTACAACAAAAACACAGGCCGCCTCATGATTCACTTCGCACGATATTCGAGATATCGCAGTAATTTTCTTCGAAGAGGGTCGAAGAGTTTTCAGCAACCTTGCGAGTAGTATTCTGTATGAAAATATCTGGTAGAAACTTCATGAACTGCACTATTAATTTGTATATCACATTGATCTTAAAGGGAGAATCACGTGAATCTGGCTGAATCTCTTGTTTGAGATATTCTTCAACTGAATGTGCTGCACAAATTTCCAAGATTTTTCAGTAACCTTGAGAGTAGTCTCCGTCTCATGCTCTAAATTATCCAAACATGAAACAATCTCTAGGCACCTGGTGGAAGTAAATAAACTTTTCTAGCGCGTACTGGACGAGGGCAACTTTGACTCCAACAGTCTCCACTGACGCACGTGACCCGTGGACGATCGAGCGAAAAGAATTAGAAAGGGCTTGGTTGAACGCTCGATGAATTCAGGGAATCGTCTTTCAACAAACTGAGAATATGCAGAACTGATCAACACCACCTTAAGCCTGATAAGAGTTCGGAGGCAAAATGTTTGAAGCTATGCAGTCTACCGACAAGATAAATTTGAAATAAATCTCGCAGTTTCATTCTTAGACCGTTCCAAGCGCCCGAATAAGAGCCCAATTACTCAGTTCCCCTGTTAGTGGCCGCCGTTGGATAGACACGGAATATGCGCAACGAAATTGCCCAGCTCAGCAAACAAGCCAACGACCAGACACGGAATATCTCTGACACAAAGAAAAATAAAACCGTGCAAAATCTTTGGAATAAATCTTCAGGTAAGCTGAAATTTCCTGTTTTGTGAGTGACAGTAAACTACTCATCACAATTTCAACTGTCCAACACGCACCCACAGCGTGCAAATTCACACTTGTGGAGGTGCAGTCTTTGAACATGCCTCTAAGAATTCAAGGAACGACACAGGACGTCGTGGAACATTCTATGTATCCCGGAAGTTACCCTAGCTCTGACGTTACTGTGACGGATGAAATGAACGCAAGAATCTCACACGTCATAATTTTTCTTCGTAAAATATTGTCACTTGTGGCTTTAAAAAGTGTACGGAGGCCTGTCGGCCCTAATAATCAAACACCACATCATTTGGACGAGTGTGTCACGTGCAGCACACGGGCCAAACGAAGGCATGCCCTGATTGGTCAGAATACCAGCCAATCCGAGTCAAGCGCATTTGACTGGGCGCTTCTCGCACCCTCACGGAGATTCTGGCACGACCTTGTGACTACCCTATAAATACAGTTGTAATAATTTTCCTTTCTCTCCAGAAAGGGCTGTGTAGAGCTACCATGCCTTTTGACAAACCATAGTAGGCGGAACAGGAAGCCAAGGGACCGATACAGAGTAACACTACCGTTTAGCAAGACAACAAAAAGATATCTTACTGAAACTCAAAAGACGTGTGTATCCGACTGAAGTGGTGGCGAAATTGTTGTCTACCTGCAAGAATTGGCCACTTTGTGGCAGAAGATTCGAAGCATTTTCAGGTCTTCATAAACAAGAACTCTGACTGGAATCGGTTGAACCCGTCGATTTTAGAGTGAGAAATCAGAAGACGGGTTTTTTGGTGATGCAACAAGCCCCTCCTTTGAAGAATGCATCCAGTACTGCAAACCATGCTGGTTGAGCCATACGCTCAGCATGCTGAGTTACCGCCTGCCGAGATGAGCGCTGGGGTGGAAACTTAGATGAGGAATGAATCCCATACGGCAGAAGATGATGAACAATGCTACCAAAGGTTTGGGTGACCTTATAGTTGTTTACATTCCAGGCCCACCATTTGCTTGACTGGTGGCACCGAACGAAACAGTGTCGTTCATGCCTTCAGTTTCTAACCGAATTGTCTGATTGAATGCTGGGCGTGTAGACCTTCGGATATTTGTGGTAGGCTACCTCATGGTCCCCGTCGCCACATTTCTTTATTTCCTCATATGAAACTGAGCTAACACTGAGGTACCGGTGTTTTCATCTGCTATTTCTGTCAATGACGACGATATCTATGTGAACTCGGCTGTTGCTCTTAGATACATGTTATGTCATGATGATGATTATGGTGGATAGGTCTCTCGGCGCTCCTTGCAAGCATCTTTGGATGGCTGTGCTGCCTAGTTTGATGATTTGAAGGCATTTTTTGTGTTTAGTAAATATACGCCGACGCAAAACCTGTTGACGCTGCTATAATATCTCAAAGGAACACAGAACGTTGTCTATTTACCAAGCCCCATAAATCTTGTTCCAATATATGGTCGGAGAGAAGACTCGTTAGCTCGACTCCTTCACTTCGTATTGTCTAGCGGTTTTGCTAGCTTACAAAATCGACCAGGAAGCCCGGCGGAAGTCCTCTGGCCGGACGTCCAAATGTACTAAAGAAGCGGGCACTCAACTACGCCCTGAACAGTCTGAACCTGAACAGTCTCCAAATGAAACCCGAGATGACGTTTATGAGGCACGATTATCCTTTCCTGAGATTCCAGAAATTCCAGGATTCTGAGGAATGCATCTTTGAATGGAAGCCACTCACCATCATCGATAGCTTGTTGGCGAGTCGCCTTATAAATGAACCGCTTTTTCTAAGCTGACCAAAAGGTATCCAATGAGTTTTCCACCTGGTGATCTGCTCGCCAAACTTGACAATCGGTTTCCAAAAGCCTCGCCATCATGCGAGCAGACGTCGTCAGTTTGCAGAAAATATTCAATTACTGCGACGTGAATGACCGTTTAAAGAATAACCAGCTAGTAATTTAGTTAGCTGCGTTGCAGTTCGACTCTCCTGCGTTCGATTGACTATTCATACAGAGAATATCGCCTTCGGACTTAGCCAACTTCGTTTCCGCTTTGCATTTGATTGAGGCCAATTGTAAAGTGTACTTTTTCTAACCACTTACGTAAATTCCCTATGCCACACATACGTTCAGTGACCATCTACGTCAGTCGGTGTTTCGGTGCCTACACAAGCCACACGGTGAATAAACCTCGTTCCAGTCTGATGTTTACAGACTTTAGTCTAACGTGGGTAGAATGAGGTGTGTACGTAATCGTTGGATGGTGCAACGCTTAACCAATATGCGTTGACTGGGAGATGCTCACAACCTGTTTGTCAGTGAGCAAACCCTGTCACTTTCAAACACAGTTTGTGCCATAATTTTGACAGTTTTACTTACAGTGTTTAGTTGTACGTGCTCCCACTGATTGATTGAACATTTCTTTGCTTCAGCATCTAACGGGAAACCTTCGAATACAATCCTGTTTCGTTTGATCCTCTCGTTGGTCACAAGCTCGTGAGCCACAAAATGGTCTACCGTGTTGAAAAGCATCTTGGCAACAGTACTTGGCTGGCCAGAGTTGAGTTTGACCAGCATTCATAGGCAACTATTCGTCGCTAAAACTTATATAGTTTATGCGCACTTTATTTGGTTACCGACCATCACAAACAAACTGTATTTGCAAAGAGAATGACGTTTTAAGGCAAGAGTTTTCTTCTGCGCGGCCACATTTATCCTTTTCACGTGAGTACTTTTTGTCTCTATGTGCGCTAGATCCATGTCGGGTGAGGTTCGCAAAGTACTTTGGATCAATCTCGTTGATGGTGCACCACGTCGACGTGATTCTCGGATGTGTTTGTACCAATGCAATCCAAAGATGAACGGCAACATATGGCCTCTTCGCACTGATTCCCCACCTGTTCGCTTTCTTCCCACTCTTTACCAAGACTTTGTTGCCTCTCGTTTGTATGCGAGCGCAATTAGATGTATAGTACTGATGAAACATGTGAGTAGTGTGTTGTTAATGTCAAAGCGCCGTGCATGCAACTCATGGAAGGTTGGTAAGGACCGCTTTGCAGTGTGTGCCCACTATTATTTTATATATTCAATAAAGGTCCAAAAAATTCGACAAAATGTTTGAGAATGTTAATTTTCCCGAAACTCTGTACAAAGGAGATTTTCGCTTTCGTATTCAACCTGTTTTAACCGCTCCGTTCGGATTGGTCAGTCCACACTCACCTGTATAATGTCAATTGTGTAGTGAAAATTGACTTGGCTTCCATCCTGAATCAGTGGCTGTCTTGATCAGTTCTGGCATGCTCGCTGTACAGTCAGCGAAACTAATCGATAGCGTCCAGCAGGTTTAAGACGTCTGTGGCGCTACCTGTCTGGGAAGTCCTGACAACCGGACCGACTAATCGATCGACAGAACAAAGCTAGGTTTTAGTGGATCGCGTTCGGGGCAGTGGGCGTCAAACGTGAACATGTTCACTTGTTCAGACGTGAAAATTCGGACGCTTCTAGCTTACGCTGATGAAGTGGCACTAACATGCTCGTCTCGTTCAAATGCTGGAACGATGAACCTCGTGAGCTGTAATAATAGTGAAACGCGGTCCCAGTGCTTGCCCCCTTTGGTGTGGACCAATCAGAATGATTGCGCCAGGACAGTAAGAGGACTGTTCAAACGAGACTGATGTGAGTGTTCATTCTACAAATCCCGCGGATATCCACGACTAAAGCAACCATAGTCATTTTCAATAGCTGGAAAATGCACATCAAGATCTAGAAAACAGTTGTACTCAGTACTAAAGTGTACAGACCGTGAATGAGTAATGCTAGAATTCGGCTCAAGATTTCAATGAAGGTCTTCCAAAAGCCTCCCAGTTTTTGAGAAAGAACATTCAAGGGCCCATTTCACAATGCGATCAGCATCACCAGAGGAAAGTTGGACATCTACCTTTTTTCTGAAACACTACGAACACACAAAGTTGGCTGAAACCAGCGAATAGAAGCTTGTATTTTGTGCCTGCATTTGGCTACTGATGTTCGAGCGCTCTCAAAGACACTACACCATACTATGCTGCGCTATATGGTACTACACTATACTACACTGTACTCTTCTATACTAGGCTGAACTGTAGTACATTAAACTAAAATTCTACGGTACTTTGCTATATTTGGAGTGTAAATTTTCATCCAATTATGATTGACTTATAGATAGATAGATAGATAGATAGATAGATAGATAGATAGATAGATAGATAGATAGATAGATAGATAGATAGATAGATAGATAGATAGATAGATAGATAGATAGATAGATAGATAGATAGATAGATAGATAGATAGATAGATAGATAGATAGATAGATAGATAGATAGATAGATAGATAGATAGATAGATAGATAGATAGATAGATAGATAGATAGATAGATAGATAGATAGATAGATAGATAGATAGATAGATAGATAGATAGATAGATAGATAGATAGATAGATAGATAGATAGATAGATAGATAGATAGATAGATAGATAGATAGATAGATAGATAGATAGATAGATAGATAGATAGATAGATAGATAGATAGATAGATAGATAGATAGATAGATAGATAGATAGATAGATAGATGGATAGATAGATAGATAGATAGATAGATAGATAGATAGATAGATAGATAGATAGATAGATAGATAGATAGATAGATAGATAATAGATAGATAGACAGAGAGTCACATGGACTGGGTTTTGAATGTATTGATATTTCTCCGATTGTATCTTATTTTCTGTACTGAGAAGAGCAGTATTTCCAAGACAGTAAATGCATCACTCAGAAACTTTGACTAAATGGGCCAGCTGGATCATGCGCTAACGATCCAACCTATGAAATGGACGGTGGAAACAATCAGGCCATGTGAACTCATTCTCATAAGGTCACTCACCGGACTTCACCTATATCATTCACTCGATTTAACTGCACTAGTGACATCAATCAGATTATTTATGGAAAAATAGCTGCAACACAACTCACAGTTCAAAGCGTAAATATCATTTCTCGGTCTCTCCACACGGTGGCAGTTAGCTCAGATGACTTTCAACTTTCAGTAGAATGAGACGAGGTTGTTGGCTGGTTCTCCTATCAACACTAAGTTCGGAATAGAAACGCAAAACAAGGAGGCAAAGTGGTAAGAATGGAATCAGCTGATGCTTACATATTAAGCGGAATATCGATTCAATTTTAGACTTCCGTTGTACCCAACTTGTTCATGTTTTTGAGCTGGTAGATTTCGATGAGTTTCCTGAATGGGGAAAGTGGAAAAAACTAGGATAAGTTGATGACGCGAACCACGAAGGTGTGGACGAACAGAGCACAATGCTTTTGGGTTCTCGCGCACTCACGAAGTTGTGGCAACTTTTTGCTGAGATGAAAACCTGCATAGCTCTTTTCATAAAGGAAACTACTCATAAGGTTGCTGAAAACTCTTATTCAGCCTCGTTTCTTATAATCCTTAAGTGGCAGTCTTGGGCACGACAATCTTGCCGGTTTCCATCCCGCCCACTCACGCTCTTCGTGTGGCTCTTGCATTCATTCACCGATTTACCAGCTTTTGCCAGTCTAGTGGGCCAGCAAGATGCATTACCATTTCTCTATTCCAGCACCTCGCAACGTGGATGATCGATGGACTTTCTCACGTGATCAGCAGTTTACCGATTCAAATCACACCTGGGATGGTGTAACGTTGTGACATGACCCCCGCAGTACTTCACGTTCCAAGCTCGAGATGACTTGGTGGCTAAGGCGCGGAACGGAAAGTTCGTGGTTCGAACCCAACCCCGGCATCTTGGCTGCCCCTCTCTAGACTTGGGCCAAATGACATTATCTTGTTTGCGAGTCTTTGACCTTTGGCGGGTGAAAAATTCGTAACAAATTGCAAGCCCATCCTTTTGATTGGTTTGAAGTATACTCATTCCAACATTTCAGTGAAAGATGCTGAAATCTATTCATTAAACGTGATTTTCTGGAATTTCGGAGAGACAAGTTAACCATCTCCCTGGAATATCGTGCTAAGAAACGTCATTCAGATGGTGAGGAGACAAACCAAACTTCTTGCTTGAAAGCATCTCTGAATCCAAGCTGACGTCAGGATACCACTCCCGTTCATTTGCTTGAACGCTCTGGCACTGTTAACCTGCACCTCCGGTATCCGCCATTCAGTTTGCTGCAAAGTCCACCCGGTCGACGCTGAATGTGTTCGTGGAAGTCAATGGCCGGCCTGTTCTGACTTGTCCCGTTGTGACCTCTGTGTGATTACAGTGCCAATCAACATCATGAGACTGTCTCCGGAACGAACGATCGCCACCCACACTACCGAGCCAACATTCCGCTCGCCATTGTCTGGTTTGCGGAACTTGAGGCTGCGTTTTTCAGGTCAGTGACAGACATTCAAACCGATTTCTTGTGATATTTAGGACCGTCAAACCCACGCATGACTCAAAGTTCTGTTTCCAAAAGCCTCCAAATCAAATACAAAAATCCCGTCTTCGACACTACTAACAAACAATGAGTACTCTACTCAGAAGGGGCGTAAAGGCCACAATTTCCATGAGAGTTCCAACTGAAACGCCTGAAACCCTATGAATCAGCCAACAGGGAACCACGAAAATTCATGTGCGTACTCGTATGAGGGGTGGTGTGGTACAGAGCTCCTCCAATGACACAGAAGTTGCGGTTTCAAGTCTTTTGAGAGGTTTGGGAGCTGCAGCCTGCTTCTGGTTCCCGACAGGTGTTCCTCACCAACGTCTTTTGAACAGGATTTTCAACCGGCTTCTGTCTATGCTTGGACAAAACACCAGCGGATTAATCTTCGTTTTCTTTCCAAATTCGCGGAAAACTTTGCCTCAAGTGCACCTCAGTGCTTCGTATTCGTCGGACGGTCAGGATCCTCACCAACGTCTTTTGAACAGGATTTTTAACCGGCTTCTGTGTATGCTTGGATAAAGCATCAGCGGATCGGTCTTCTTTTTCTTTCCAAATTTGCGGAAACTTTGCCTCAAGTGCACCTCAGTGATTCGAATTCGTCAGACTGTCAGGGACTTTGCTGAGAACACATATTCATTAGAGTCATTCAAGATCTGCCATGCTTTTGAGCGCTGACAGCCTGAATAGGCCGTAAATTGACTGTTTCGTAAGACAAATCTGGTCATTTACATACTTTTTTCCCAACAGCTACTTTCGTGATGTTATTGTAGCAAAATCGCGAAAGCAGTTTTTATGTTTTTCTCTCTCGAAAGAACGGGGATCAGATGTCAGGAAATCGCTAAAAATGTGGGGACACCGAAAACTTGGGACAACACAGTGAAAATGTGTAACACGGGTTTTGGGCATTAATACCCGCTGTACATTTTTGGTGGTTGTTTTGGCGGAAAAGCTAGCCCGGAAGGTTCAAACCGAGAACAAAACTGAGGAAAATACCGTTATAAAAATTGGCGACGAGGATGAGATCCAGGATGCCAATCGAATTTGATCAGCTACGAGAATTATCGCAGTAGCGATACAAGCAGTTTAGAGAAGCACAAATGATGCTCATTGGATCACAAAATATCTACCAAATGAATACAAAATACTCGCCGATATATACAAATTTGGGGGATCGACATTGTATGTCCCACCTGACAGATCGAAACGCTACACAAAGTTAAAATTGTGGCATCATCGGGGCACTCTCGAAAGGAAGAGAAATCTGTCAAGAGGATAACTATCGATGAAACAGCATTATCTTTGCTGTGAGCAAAATTCTAGCACACATCCTACTTCGGCTAGTCAATGTCAATATTTGGGAAGACAGTATCCGTGAAGAACAACAAATTTGTTTACCTGGGCAGCTGTATCAGTCCCGGTGGTCTCACGAAAGATGAAATTTCCATCCGGATTGGGAAGGCCAGAGCAGCTTTTGCGAACCTACGTCACCTGTGGCGTAGGCGTGACATCAGCTTCTCTGTCAAGGGTCGAGTTTACAATGCTGCGGTGCGCTCCATATTACTATATGGATCAGAAACCTGGCCGCTGCGCGCCGAGGACGTCAAAAGACTTTCAGTGTTTGACCATCGATGTCTTCGGAGCATTGCCCGAATCTGGTGGGAACACCGGATCAGCAATTCTGAAGTACGTCGAATGGTATTCGGGAGAAATAACTCACCCTCGATAGATGAACTGATCACACTGCACAGGTTGCGCTGGCTTGGCCACGTGCTGCGTATGCCAGTCGACCGACTTCCTCGAAGGGCCCTTTTCGCACAACCACGTGAAGGGTGGAAGAGAGCCAGAGGCGGTCAGACAATGACTCGGCAGCGAAGTATGAAAGCCATTACCAGCAAACTCAGATGCGTTGGTCACTGCCGTCTTCCTGGATGAGGACCCCGAGATGAGCCACATCAATGGTTAGAGACATTGTTGGACATGGCCCAGTCGTGCCCTCAAGGGCGCTCGTGCATCCAAACTATTGCCTTCAATGCATAGCTCCTTTTCCAACCCCCCACTTGACAGCCCACTGGGAGTGCTGGATTTAATGCACCAATTTATCAGCTCCGCTTGCAATGCGCAGCTACCTACTCCTCCCCCCCCAAATCATCGGTGAACGAAACTGCGGCAGCTACAACAACTGTACGACGAGTACAGCTGACAAATGAGTGAATG